ATATTTACGTGGTTAGGAGTTAGCCTGAGTTTACTGTTTGTTGTAGCTGCAAGTGTCAGAGACAAACATTTTCTCTGGCATCTTGGTATCCTGAAGAAGAGTAAGCTCTGGGAATATTTCAAAATAGTTACTCTCCCCTCCTCTTGAGAGAAGTAGGAAGGGATTTTTATCAGATCTTCACAGTGAACTTGGTGGGGCTTCTGGATACAAAACTCAGGAAAATGTGTGGGGTCTTCCAAGACTGGACCCTTGTGAACTTTTAACTCTTAAACATATCCACAAGGAGCCTTCAGCAATTAAGTGGTCCTACTTAGGCTTGCTCCAGCTGTGGGTTTCTCTCTTGTGCTCTAGTAAGCTGTGATTTTATGTATCTGCTTGGGTCTCTCCAGTTTTAAGGGTAGCAGTCTGTCCTGTGACCTCAATCCTCTGATGAATTTAAGATAAAATCTTGATTTTTAGTTTGTTTGGCTTTTCCCTTGTATAGATGGGAGTGATGATTTCCAAGCTCTTTTCATGTCAAACCAGACACCAGAGGCTGTATTTTTTCATTGATTTGTAGGAGTGCTTATCTCTGCAGAAAATTAGTCCTTTACCTTGATATGAGATGTACTTTTTTTTCCCCATCTGATCATTTATCTTTTGAATTGTTTTCCTCCCATTCAATTAAAAACGTGTTTTTTGTGTGGTTGCTTTTATTGATATTCTCTTTTAGCCATTTGGATTTTGCATTTACAATTGGTAAGGCCTTAACAACTGAGATATAAAGAAATTCTTCCATTTTTAAGCACTTGTTGTAATTTTATTTTTTACATTTAAAGATTTGCTCAGTTTGGGTTTTAAAAGAATGAAGAATAAATGCTACTTATTCTTCTCCAGTTGCCCATTCAGTTCTTTCAAAATTATTTACTCAATAGTTCCTTTTCCCCCTATTAGTTTGTTATCATATATTGAATTTCAATATTCATTTGGGCCTATTTTTAGAACCTCTATTCTGTATTATTGTTTTATTTGTTATATGCTAAAATGAATAATTCATATAATACTACTTTGTTTCACTTATTGAAGCTTTAAAATATCTGAAATAGTTATCCACTCATTTTTCTTGTTGAAAAATTTCTTGTCAATTTTATCTCCTATATTATCTTTAGCGTTGTGTCTAATTAAAAAAAAACTTGGTATGTTTGTTTTGATGAGGCTAAGTTTTTAGGTTAATTTAGAAAAAAAGGATGCATATGTCCAAAGTTGAGTTTTTCTCTCTAGGAACATTATATATACCTTCACATTAATTCAAGTCTTTATTATTATTATTATTATTATTTGGTATTGGGGATTGAACCCAAGCCATTACCTAAGCGCTTTTCATTTTTTATTTTGAGACGGGGTCTTGCTAAGTTGCCAGGCTGCCTCAAACTCGAGACCCTTCTGCCTCAGCCTCCTGAGTAGTTGGGATTATGGGTGTGCACCACCACCCTGCCTGGCTTCAAGTCTCATTTTAAATCTCACTCCATTAAGCACAAACATACTTAGTAGAATGTCTGAAATACAGGAAATAGTCAATAAATGCTGACTACAAAAGTTCTATACTCTTAACCACAGTCAAACCTATCCTTGGGAACATACTTTCATTTTCCCAAACTACCCCTCTCCATCCCATGTTTCTCACAGTTTCTAAACAAAAGCCCCTAAATAGTTTGAAGCCTTGTGGAGTGGGATGGGGGAGAATGGAGGAAACAGAGATAGAATGAATGGCAGTAGCCATCTATATAAAGTAGTTATACTTTTATTGTTGAAGAGAATGAAAGGATTCTGTGCTGATTTGCATTTTGGGAGGTGGGCCAAGAAAATTAATCAAGAAAGCAGGAGAGATTAACAGAACATTTTTTTTCCCCAAATGCCACCTTAAATTTGTAGAGGACTTTATGGTGTACAGTCCACCTTTACATACCTGCATCTAAACCAATCTTCACAGCAACTCACTGGGGCCCTTGAGGAGGGGAGCCACAATTGCACAGGGAGTAGGTAGAAACTTGGATGACATATTCCAGAGCTGTGGACTCCTACTCTAGTGCTCATTCCTTTTCATAGCAAACTTGACTTCTTGCCATTTATTCCTATCTAGGTTTAGGCACATGACAAACATGATAGAAACACAGGTAGGGAGAAAAGGGGAAAAGGATCACAACATTTTGAGAAGTCAGCATAAGAGAACTGTGGGATTAAAATTAATAGCAGTTTTTTTTTGCTAATTACCCCCATGGACAGAAGTTTTATGGGACAGCTATATAAGAAATTGTATAAAGTTAGCAACAATGTCTTGAGTGTCTGTCGTGTGCTGCCTGTTTTATGTGTATTTTTTTTCTTTTATTCCCAACATCAGTCTTTCAAGACAGGTGTTATCAAACAATCTATATACCACATGTCTTTAAAAAGCAAGGCCACAGTCTTTGGAGCTTAACATTTGTACACTAATTGAGGAATACTTGTAACACACAAAGGCCTGGATGTGGAAGTTTCACAGCTGTGGAGGAACCCGAGGATGTCAGCCATAGAAGTGGGGTGAGTGCAGGAGAAATGTGATGTGATGACTGGAGAAAGGGAAGGATATTGTTTCTATTACTAAACAGGGAAAGCGACTGAACATTAAGTAACAGATAAACCTGATGGGCAACGGAAAGGGACACAGGAAAACTGCGTGCAGCTAGAGTTATGGATGCAGACGAATTAAACCAATTGCAGGGGAAAAGGACGCCCAGGAGAAGCCCTGCTTCTACCTGGAAAAGTGCTCCATCAGCTACTTTGCCCTCTCTCTCTCTCTCTCTCTCAATGCTGCATCGCCTTTTAAAGTGACAGTCACGACACTGCGGGATTCAGAAGCGGAAATGGTCTTTGCTCATTGGATGACAGTCTAAATCCAGACCGAAAGAATGTGGTTGGAGACAGCTGGACAGCTGGTGGAAACGGTCCCAGTACTGACTTCAGTGGAAAATGTCCACGTGCTGCTCGTTTCCCTCTGTATCAAGCAAGCTACCTGTCTCCATCTCTCTTGCTTTTGCTTCTCTTCCATCTTTTTTTTTCTTTTTAAAGTAACCAACTTGGTGCATAGTACCCAAGTGGTGGAGGAACGCTCCTGCTTAACCCAGCGCTAATGGTTGCCTCGGTGATTAATGGGAGCTACTCGGGAGGTTTATGAGAAGTGGCACTTCCTTTCCAGCTTCTTGTATCTGCCACCGAGCAGTTAACGTTAAAGCCCGCTCTCTACCCCGCGGATGTGAATGCTGTCAATACCATCGGGCAGGGCTCTCCGCCTTTAGAAACTCGGAAGCAGGACAAACCCAGCCAGTCCCCGGACGCCCAGTGACCCCAGACTGCGGCAAAGGGTGTGGGAATGGAAAGAGGGGAGGATCACCAGGCCCCCCTTTCTCCGTTCCCTTTCCTTCGGAGCACTCTTTCCACCCCGGGAAGAAAGGCAAGGTTGCTCCAGGTTGCCAGTACCTCTAGCCCCCCAGAAATCTGCAAATTCATTGCTCAATTTCATGTTCCGGCGAAACCTTTAAGGCCGGAATAGGGCCAACCCCAGTTTTCACCTCCAGCCTTTAGCTGACTTCTAAGGCGGGTCCGACTTCTCCCCCATAAAAAGGCTTTGGTTCGCTTCCCCACCACAGGGGTCCGGCGTCTGCTTTGGACTTTGCTTCTCACTCGCACGCCGTCTGGAGCAGCGCTCAAGTCTTAGCAACTTTCACCATCTTGACCAGAGTCGGGCCTTTTCTGAGACAATGTGAACAAAGAGGAGCAGGGGAAAGAGACCAGGGCTCGCGGGCGGGCTTCTGAGCGACTGTGTGTGTATTGGGGTGCGCCGCACTCCGCGTCTCCAGCCACTGGGGATCCGGGCGCCTGCGGGTGGTCTGGGAAACAGAGCGCAACGGGGCCGGGCTCTAAGGCTGGCTCGGCCCGGCCGAGCCCCTTGTGGCCCAGGGCAGAGAGTTTCTTTGTCCCTGTCTCCAGCTGGGCGCGAAGGCAGATGGGCGTGAGCAAAAGCCCGAACCTGGGACTGGAGATCCGCTTCCAAGTGCGGCGCGACAGGACGGAGTAGGAAGGAGCGCCTACTGCCCAGGGCGCCCCGCAAGCGTCTGGCGCCCTGATCTCCAGGATCCGCGGAGGGAGACACTGGAATTCGCCTCTCCCTTCCCGGTGCCAAAATGGGATTTAGTATGGCACGGCTGGTCCTAAATAGCGTGGTTTGGAGCGCTCTTCTCTACCCTACTCCCCTAAGACGCGCGCGCTAGTCTGGGGCAAGAGTCGAACTCGGGGACAGAGGCGGTTC